GGGTGGGGTGTGCCAGCCCTAAAAACAGTATAGCAGCAGCTGCAGGGGGAGGAGTCAGACTTTTGGCACCTGACCCCCCGGATTAGCTGCCTACTCTGGGGCTGCAGGGAAGCTAGACTGATTTGGAGAGGAGAGTGAGGGACCAGCCAGGAATTCTGGCCCCCAGGAGGTGCCATAAATAGTCAGAGGGCCTCCAGAGATGGCAGGGGAGAGGGAGGGCTGGAAAGGAGCAGTGGAAAAGGAGAAAGAAAGCTGTCAGTCATCAGTCTGGGGATGGGTCCAGGGCACTCTCCCAAAGCCCTAAAGGAAAACTCTATGGATGTAGTGGGAGCTAGGGGGAATGAGAAGTGCCCTCTTTAGAGAGAAGCAGCCCGGGAAGACCTGCACCATCTCTGGAAGTCACTTGGAGCTGTTGGGAGAGTCAAGACATTCTCGCCCCACCATTCACTGCACCAGAGGTGTTTCCTCATTTTCATCCCTTTGGCCATACTGGAAGAAAAAGCTGTAACTCAGGTGGCATGGCAGGTTGGGAAAACGGAGGCCCAGAGATGTTAAGTGATTTGGCCAAGCTCACACAGTGAATGGAATGGGGGTATGAACAGGGAATGTATTTATTTATGTTCCTCCTAACCCAGGAAGTAACAATCAAAATTTAGAAACCTGGCCTTATGGAAGGTTTATCTTTTCCTCTGTGGATCCAAGCACATCGCTGCGGCTGGGCCTAGGAGGGGGGCAAGGAACACATGTAGCGGATGCTCCCAGCGCCCAGCCGCTGTTTGTGTACCTTGTCTCGGTAGTGACCGGAGGGGCAGGCACGCCTGGGTTGGTCTCTGGGACAACGAGCTGTCGGGGTCCCAGCTGTCCCGGCACATAAAGCACCCACTCCATCAACGCACCCCCAGGTATCTTCTTTCACAGAGTGAGAATTTAAACTTTCCCCTGGTGAGGCTTTTATTTTACACCGACCCCCTCCTGGCCTCTCTGCCCTCTACCTAGTGAGGGTAGCTCCATATCAATCTGATCCTGTCCCTCCTCCTCAGCTGCCTCCTGGCAGCCTGGAGGTTTTCTGAAATGTCCGTGGGAAATAAACTAGGGAGAGGCAGGCCACAGCTTAGCACAGGTAAGACGGTGGGGGCTGGGGCCCACAGGTGGCCTGGGAGAATTCTGGTTTGGGTTCTATCCCGACTCACCAGCTGTCTGGTGTCTCTGTCTCTGTACCCTGACACACACACACATGTAAGTACACACAAATACACACATACACACGCTCTGATGCCTCTCAGGAACCAGCCCACAGCCCTTCTCCCTGCAGGTACTCCAGAGTCTCTCTGTTTCTCCGCAGAGCCTGGCCTCAGGGGTCCCCCTGGCAAGTGTGAGACTGCATGGTGGAGGGCTGAGAACAAGCCTGGGGGAGCCAGTGACTCTGCTCTCACGGCAGCTGCGTCGCCGAGCGAGTCGCTTAGCCTCTCAGGTCTCAATTTCCTCACCACGGAAGTGAGGATGCTGGAAGTACCTACCTCAAACATCCTTGGGAAGAGAAAACGAATTAATACACAGCATGTGCTTCGGGCCCACAATCAGGGGCAGTGCTAATGCTAGCTTTCCTTATTACTGAATTCCAGGCAGCCTAGCACAGAAGGAAAAGGCTGGACCTTGGAGGCTGACAGATCTGGGTCCAAATCCCAGCACCCCATTGACTCCTCGTGTGACCCTGAACCAACAGGCCTCCTGCCCAGTCTCCTATGCAGACGGGATGTACTGAAGGAATCTTACCCACAGGGCTAATGTGGGGTGGGGTGTGCCAGCCCTAAAAACAGTATAGCAGCAGCTGCAGGGGGAGGAGTCAGACTTTTGGCACCTGACCCCCCGGATTAGCTGCCTACTCTGGGGCTGCAGGGAAGCTAGACTGATTTGGAGAGGAGAGTGAGGGACCAGCCAGGAATTCTGGCCCCCAGGAGGTGCCATAAATAGTCAGAGGGCCTCCAGAGATGGCAGGGGAGAGGGAGGGCTGGAAAGGAGCAGTGGAAAAGGAGAAAGAAAGCTGTCAGTCATCAGTCTGGGGATGGGTCCAGGGCACTCTCCCAAAGCCCTAAAGGAAAACTCTATGGATGTAGTGGGAGCTAGGGGGAATGAGAAGTGCCCTCTTTAGAGAGAAGCAGCCCGGGAAGACCTGCACCATCTCTGGAAGTCACTTGGAGCTGTTGGGAGAGTCAAGACATTCTCGCCCCACCATTCACTGCACCAGAGGTGTTTCCTCATTTTCATCCCTTTGGCCATACTGGAAGAAAAAGCTGTAACTCAGGTGGCATGGCAGGTTGGGAAAACGGAGGCCCAGAGATGTTAAGTGATTTGGCCAAGCTCACACAGTGAATGGAATGGGGGTATGAACAGGGAATGTATTTATTTATGTTCCTCCTAACCCAGGAAGCAACAATCAAAATTTAGAAACCTGGCCTTATGGAAGGTTTATCTTTTCCTCTGTGGATCCAAGCACATCGCTGCGGCTGGGCCTAGGAGGGGGGCAAGGAACACATGTAGCGGATGCTTTAGAGAGGTATTAATCAGAGGGCTCCATGCAGCCCTGGAAATATGACTACATCTAGGCTCAGAAGACCTGGACTCAAATCCTTGCGTGCTCTTCTACAAATCACTTCACCTTCCTAAGCCACAGGTCCCTAACTTGCAAAATGAGGCTAATAATTCACACCCGGGTGAGACTGTATGAGGGTTAAACAAGATAATGCATGCCTGAGTGCCTGATTAATGCCCTGAATGCTATAAAGACTGGGAGCTCCTGGTGAAAGCAATACCTTATTCATCTCTGTGTTCTTGGTAGTTACTACAGCACCTGTACGTAGACGCCCTGGATAAATGTCGGTTAAATGAAAGAATGAAGCAAACTCCGAGCTGTTAGCTGTTCTGTGTTGATGCAATAATAAACATTCCTTGTTATTTATCAGCTATCACTGCCCTTTCGTTGTGTGCACTATTGCCTCCACCCTGTGCTTTATGCCCCTGGAAAAATGTTTGAAAAAATCATCTCTAAATGAGAATGGTTTCAGTAATAATAATAGAATTCATTGTCTACACTGGGACAACTCCTGGGAGGGAAAGGGGCACTGTTAGTAATTATGCCTGGTCAACAGGGTCAAACCACAACCATCCCGAGCAAACCAAAAAGCTGGACGCTGCCCTGACGGAGCACTGTGCTGTTCAGAATCCCTGGAGGAGAGAGCCCCAGGTCCTCCAAGCCATCCTGGCTCCTCTCCTCACGTCAGACCTGGAAAGGGTGCCCTACCTTCTCCTCCCCACTCCCTGACCCCAAGTGCAGCTGTTTTCAGACCACTTCCCCAGTGCCCTCACCATGACGGCTCTTTCCATTTTCCTGAGGACGTCCTAGCGTGCTGTACCACTCCACACACTAAGACTTGCGGGCCCTGCTAAGCACTGACCATGAGACCTGCAAAAACCCTCCAGCCATCACCTGCTGCTGCTCCAGCTCAGGGACTTTTCTAGGGGACCCAATCATACCTCACTAGTTTTGTAAGCTTCTAACTGAGCCCCCTGCTTCTACTCTTTCCCAAAACCCCTCCAGCCATCACCTGCTGCTGCTCCAGCTCAGGGACTTTTCTAGGGGACCCAATCATACCTCACTAGTTTTGTAAGCTTCTAACTGAGCCCCCTGCTTCTCCTCTTTCCCACCCAGTAAGGTGAGCTTGTAAAAACAGAAGTCAGATCGTGTATCTCATCTGTTCAGAAGCAATGGTTTCCCGTCTCACTCAGAGAAACGGACAGTCCATTAAGACCACAGCCACTCTACCCCTTGTTATCTCTGGCCTTCTGTCCTCAGCCCACCAGGTATTCTCGCCAGTTCCTGGAATGTACCAGGAATGCTCCCAACTCAGGGCCTTTGTGTCTGATTTCTCCGTTTTGGAACACTTTTCCCTCGGTTAGCCTTCGAGCCCTTGTTGCTCAGTTGCCTTCTTTTCAAAATCCTTCCCTAAACTTTCTATAGCAGTGTAGCCCCGCCCCTTGACAATTCCCTTTCTTCTTCCCTGCCTCTGCTCCTTGGCACTTGCCAACACTGAATAGGCCATAGATTTCACTTATCTTGTTTATCATCCGCCTCCGTGAGGGCAGGGATTTTCCTCTGCTTTGTTCTTTGTTATATCCCTGGTACCTGAAACAGCCTCTGGTATCAAGTAGATGCTCAATAAATATTTGCTAAACGAATAAGGCTGACTGCAAGGGAACATAGCGTGGAGGCTGGCCTCTGGAGTAACAGAGTCTGGGTTGTAATTCTGGTGCTGCCATTTCTGAGCTGTGTGACCTCAGGCAAAGCCCTTAACATTTCTGTGCATCTCATTTTTCCCATATGCAATGTGCATTGTCTTCCAGGCCTGTTGAGAGCATTGAGACTGACGTCATTCGTAGGTCACTAAACTCACTTCCTGGCCAACCTACAGACTCTGAAGTTTACTCTCTCCTCTCCAACCGTCACACATACCCTATAGTCAAAAAAAAAAAAAGAAAAAAGAAAGAAAGAAAGAGAAACTCAAAGCTAGTAAATGGCAGATCCTGTTACACTGGGGATCCTGGTCGATTTGGCATTGCATAATGGGTTCGAAACATGCAAAGCAGCATCTGTGCCCTTTAAGTCACAACTCACACACTTTCTTCCCAAGTTGTCAGTTTTTATTCCAGCTCTCTTCTGGACCCTCCTTTCCTGAACCTAAGTTCCTTCAAGGGAGATGACCTGGGTCTCTCTGCAAACACCCCCTTCAATGCATGCTTCTGAACTGGCATCCCTACCTGCCAGCTTCCTGTCTGTGCCTACTGATAAATAGGGGAGACTAATGGCCAGATTTTCCATTCCCCCACACTGGTACCTGCTGTCACTCAATTAAAAAAAGATAGAGGGAGAGGGCCTGGGGGAGGGGCAGGAGGCCCTGGCTATAAAGCCTGTGGCCTGGGGGTGAGAGCAGGAAGCTTGGCCTGCAGGGTCCTCTTCCCATCATCCCCAGCCAGATTTAGCTGCTGACAGCTGTTTGGACTCTGCTGCCAGGCCCTGGCTCAGACGCTGCCTCTCCTCTCTCAGTGACTCCTGAGCCACAGCCCCTCCATGGCCCAGAAAGAAGAGGCCGCCGCGGCCGCTGAGCCTGCCTCCCAGAATGGGGAGGATCTGGAGAACCTGGAAGACCCTGAGAAGCTGAAGGAGCTGATTGAGTTGCCGCCCTTCGAGATCGTCACAGGGTAAGACTCGGATGTGGACCTGGAAACCTCTTCCCTAGAAGAGCACAGGCGTGGGGCAGGCTGTAGAAATACAGGACGGCAAGAGTGGGGGTCAAGGTCAGCCTGTGGCAGTGAGAGTGCACCTGTGTGCACATTGGGGTTTGCAGAGAACAGGGCAAGGGAGCTGTCTTGGCTAGTCAAGGTGAACACCTAATCAGGCGAAGATACGGAGCTTCCTAGAGGCCAGGGCCCAGAGACGTAATCACCCGTAGGCTTCCACCTACGGGGATGGTCATCTGCCTCTCTGGGTAGAGATTTAGTCCCAAGGAGTTTGGTAACAACAGAGGATAAAACCGACATTTGATGTATTTTTTGCTAGTGAGCACCTGCTGGCCCCAAGATTGGAACATTAAACACAAGGAGCCTTCAAAAAGTTCACAGAAAAATCCAATGACAGATTTCAAAACATTTTTGCTCCAAAAATAAACTTGTACTTCAATCCCATTTTTCCATAAACCTTTCGAAGTCCTCGTGTATAGCCCTTGTTAAAGTACCCCTCTCTCTTCAACCTCTCTGTTTCTGCTTGGGTCTCGTCCACCTCTGTATGTCTCTAGCCCTTTCTTTTGAGTTTCTTTGTGCAGCAGGAAACTCATAAGACAGAGAAGACAGATCCATTCTTTCCAGTGCCGAATGGGAAGGAAGCAGATATATATATATATATATGGTTTTTTTTTTCTTATTGAATCTTTCCTGAGTCTCCTCAGGGGCTATCTACATCTATCACTTAAAAAAAAAATTATATATAAAAAAAAAAACAGAAAAGTTACTGCTCAAATAACCAGGCTACAAACTTTTGGACAGATAAGCAGTTCCAGTTCCCTGAGCCACAGCCTAGAGGATCTAGGGCCCAGAGGAAAGGTTCTAAAGACTCCAAAGAGGGGGCCGTGTACAAGAATCCTCTGCCTTGTCCACATTACGCCCTTTCTCCCTCCTCTTTCCTCTCTGTTCCTGTGGTAGAAGACCCGCTAAATGCCTAAGCGAAGGAGAATATGTGGAGACACACGTCTTCTCTGAGCTCCAAGTTCCCCCACTGGGCTCTCCCACAATGCCCACCGGCTGAATATAGGCACAATACCAAGAGAAGTTTAAGGAAGAATGGAGGCAAAGGGGAGGGGAGGCCTGGGCGGCGAGGTGGACTTACTGTATTAAGCTTGGCAAATGACTTTCCAGTCTTGGCCTGTCTTGTCATTTGTGGATTTGTTTTGTTTTGTTTTCAATTTTGCCAGAGGATGCATGCACTTACTGGTGAGAGACAGAGAGGGAAAGCGAGAAAGCAACGCCCCCCCCATGGGGAATGGTCACCGCAATCCCTCCTCCTCCACTTCTCCTTTCAGGACTTTTGGGCCCCGTACATGCCGTTTACCACACAGCCAGCCATGTGGGATCTAGCTCCCTTCACTGCCACACCACAGGCTGGCTCCGTTTTGTCATTGGTAACATGAAGAGGCTACTTCATTGCTAAGGTCCCTTCCAGTGCAGATATTTTATGATTTCTTGGAGGACCTAAGGGAAAGGCATCCTCATTCCTGAGTCATGAGTAGCCCCTGAACTTCCATTTGCCCAGGCTCACTCAACTAATCTCACCCTCATGCTAGGATTAAGGAAACAGCTGGGCACGGTTAATATAGACCCAGGGAAAGCCTGGGGTAACCAGGCCAGGAGAGTCCTCAATTCCAGGGCTCACTTATAGGGAGATCCTTTTTCTAACACCTAAGCATACTGGTTCTTGCTGTCCTTGGGCACACACACATGCACGCACCCACACTCCACTCTGCAAGGCATTCAGATCTCCCCAGCACAGAGCAGGGTAGTTCAAGAACAGAATTAAACGGTGCTTGCTGGGTCGAACATGCTTTGGGGTCCCAGAGCAGTGAGTCCTTAAGGATGTCCTCTGGTGTATTTCACATTCGTCCAGAGCTTCATAATCATAACATACTTCCACAGGCATGAGCTCATTCAATCCTCAGCACAATGCTAGGAGGGGGGTATATTATTGCCACTTTACAAACAGGGAAACAGGGGACCAGCAGATGGTGTAATGGCTATGTCGCTGGACTTCCCTGTAGTCGACTGCGGTTCAAGTCCCAGACCTGGTGGCTTAAACACACACCAGGCTCATGTGCGTGTGTGCCCAAGAACCCAAGAGGAGAATGGAGGGGAAGGGATTGTGGCATGGCCATCTCCCCTGGGGCGTGATTTCTCACTTTCTGTCTCTCTGTCTCTGTCTTTCTGGCAAACACACGTGCCCTATAGCAAAAAAAAAAAACAAAAAAACAAAAAAAAAACGGGAAACAGAGTAAGGGAGGTTGTGCAATACAGTCAAGACTACAGAACCAGTAAGGGATGGGTCTTCTGACTCCTGGCCAAGTATCCTTCCCACAAGTCTCATTCTTTCTGGGTCCCAGGTTTCCTAAACAGAGTTTCCTATATTACCATTTGAAAGGCAGGGAGGGTCAGAGGCTTCCCTTGACCCCTGACTCAGAAAAAGGGGCCCTCTGAGAGCAGTTCAGAGGGGAGGAGGAGCCTTGAGTGATTCCTGGTCCTAAGTGACAGCTGTGGAGTGCTGTCTCCAGGGCCCTCAGGATAAACAGAGGCTTAAAATAGCCCAGGGGTGTGGCTGTGTTGTGCAGGGGCAGGATGAGGAGACAGCTTTCCTCTGCTTCCCTCTAGAGATGCCTGAACTCCCACAGGGAATGCACTCCTAGCGCTCCTTGTATTGGAGCTGGAAAGTAGCGGACAAGAGGTGCTCACTGAGAAACTGAGGAGGGAAGACACGGTGGGAAGAAGGGGGATGGGCTTCATTGGTACTGGTTCTGGTTGAAGAGGACACTCTGGATGGAAAGCAAACTGAGCACATTATCAAGACAGCACGGTGAGAAGTGTTGGGGAAAGGTCTGAAACCACAGGGCCGTGCTGAAGCCAACTGCTGTTGGCTCGAAACTCAGGTGTGCACACCTCTCCCTGACTCTCGATTAGGTTCAGGTTATGTTAGGAGTTCAAAATCTCCATAAAGGGAGTACTTACATTATGTAAGTCAGCAAATGCTAGCAGTCAGGAACTCTTTTCTTTTTCCCAGAGCTGAGTTTTCAGTTACGTACCAGACCGTCTCTGAAAGAGAGAAATCTCTGAGAGGAAGAGTCAAAAAGAGATCAGGTGGGGTTGCTGAGGACAGACCTCTGAAGGAGGCACCATCCATCAAACTAGCTTCAGCATATTGTTTACCATGGTCCACAATCTGAGAGGCGGGATTACTCTTTCAGATGAGGAAACTGAAGCTCAGAGGGATAAGGAATTTGCACGTGGCTAGGAGACAAAGAGGGCATGAGCCCCAATACTGATGTCAGACCACCACATTGCATCCAAAATACTGAAGAGGATTATGGCAGCCACAAACATTTCCTGCTAAAGACTTGTTCATTCAGTGCCTGTCTCCTCCGTTAGTGTTTAACCTCCATGAGGACAGGGACTTTATTCCTAACATCCAACGCCTAATCACCACTCAAATAAATATTTGTAGACTAAATGAGTGAACTAATGAATGAGCACCTGCCATGTGTTAGGCTCTCTGCCAGACAGTAGGACAGGGAATGAACTGGGGAAATGGCGTGAGACTTCTCCGGCTCCTGCCCTACTCTGAACGCAGCATGCTCCAGGGGCGCTCTGGGGCACTGGGGTGGGTGTCTCCCCATCTCTCCATCCCAGTGGGAGTGACTGTGGCTCTGCCTCATGGCACCTCTGATGTGTTTTAATCTTTGTCTCTAGTTGTATTCTGTATGTTCGTACAGAAAGTGGAACCTGCTAGTAAAGAGATTATTACAGAACAGAGATAAATGACGGTTCTTTCAACCACTTTTCTGTGGCCACACGAACACAGAAGAGGCAGGGTCCATAGGAGAAGGGGAGGCTAGGAGTAAGGAGCCTTTGACGTTACTGTTAAATGCCACAGGCCCTTCACCCCTCACACTAGACTCGAGCATGCTGAGGTGTGCCATGAAGAATAGAAGACAGCCCACCGACTGGCCACACTGGCTTCCACTGAGGGGTGGTGGAAGACCAGTGCTCTACAGTAAGGTAGTACCTCCCAGGTAAAGGGGCAGGCTATGGACTTCCACAGGCAGAATCCCATCCAGTCCCGCAGTATGGTGCTCCCTTCTCGGTTCTAGGAAGTGCAGGCTGCTAGAACCCTCTGCTTCTGCTGCATACTCCTCTTCCTGACTTGCCCATTCCTCAGCATCTACCTTGAAAGTGGTCTAAAAAAGGAGAATGCCAGTGAAGCTGGCAGCTGTGCCTCTTTCAAGCAGGTCTGAAAGGTCTTGTTGAGAGAAAGCTAAAAGGAGCCAACGCTCCGTGAGCTGTGAGGAGATTTTGCACTCCAGGATTATTCTGGAGCAAATGTTCACTTCCAGATCAGCTTCTACCACCCTTCAGGATGCTCCCTTTCACTGCATAGAAGTAACACTTGGGAAATGCAAGCTTTTTTTTTTCTTTTTTTTTGGAGAGGTTTTTCGCTATAGGGCACGTGCATGCGCCAGGCAGCCAGAGAGAGATAGAGAGACAGAAAGCGAGAAATCACCCCCCGGGGGGATGGTCACGCCGCAATCCCTTCTCCTCCCTTCTCCTCTCGGGATCTTGGGCACGCACGCACACGCACCCGGGGTGAGTTTTAAGCCACCGGGTCCAGGATGTGAACTGCGGTTGACTACATGGGAGTCCAGCAACATAGCCATTACACTAACTGCTGGTTCCCGGGAAATGCAAGCTTTTAAAGTGAGAACTTAAGGAAAATATGTATTACCTTTACTCACTTCCTTCTCCCTCCATTAAGTAGACCATCTCCCCTTTTTTTCTTTCCTTTTTAATTATTTTATTTAACTTTATTTATTTACCTATTTTTATTTGACCAGAGATGAAGAGAGTGGACCAGAGAGAGAGAAAGCGAGAAAATAAGCCACCAGGTCTGGGACTCAAACCGCAGTTGACCATGTGGGAGTCCAGTGCCCTGAACCACTGTGCCACCTGCTGGCCCCCTCTCCAATTTTTTCTAAACATTAAGATTCTGGATTTTTTTCCTAGAGAAGAAAATGTCTTTGCCCAGTGGCCTCAGTCTAAGCAGACGAAGTGTGAAGGGCTTCGTTTGCCAAAAATATGAGGAAGTAGTGCTTAAAGAGGTGCTGGGGTTTGGGGGAGGAACGGGGAATCAGGAGAAATACAAGGCCCTACCACCTCCGTCCTCCTGGTTTCCCTCCAGGACCTGCAGGCAGTGTTTCAGACTGTGGGAAGCCCACAGAACCTCATCCAACCCTTATGCTTCTTCTAGCAGCCCCAGAAGCCCATGGAGAAGCCAATAGAGCTAAGTCTCTGGACAAGCCCAAAGGAACGACTGGCAGCCAAACCCTGCCCTGCTTTCTCCTGCCCCTTGAAAGGGCTTCTCTTCCCGAGGCAACTAGTCCAGAAGGGCCTGTTGAGGGACACAGTAGACTTCAGTGCTGCTGGCCAGAGGGGTCGGAAATGGATATTTATAGAGAGGTGACCTTTCTTCCTCTCCCTTGGGTTTTGGGTTTCTCTAGGTTCTCTCCTCTTGTCTAGGGAAGAAGAGGAAAGGAAAATGTCAGCATTTAGGAGGAGCTGAGAAGAGTTGCCATTTCATAACCATCCAGCCAAGCTGCAACTGTATGCAGGGCCAAATTCTTGGCGGGACTATATTCAGAAAAATTGGAGCAATGATTTGGGGATTTTAGAAGGAAACCTGAGGGACCACACAGGCAGTTACTGCTGAAGCCCCAAGCCAGTTAAGTAGCCATGAATACTTCCAAGGGTTCCACCTGGGAATCCCTCCTGAAGGCTCTGGACTGGATTTAGGGAGTGGGGGGGTGGTCTGGCAAAAGGTCTTGAAGAACAAAATACGGTTTGAGTAAGATAAACTCTGTGCTTCTAAGAAGCCAAATGCCACTTCAAGGAGTAAAGGGATCATTTAGCAACCAGCAGAGTTCAGGACTAGTTTGGTGGGGTAAGAGTAATTAGGAAGAGCTCAGTGTAAGTAAATTTCCAGCAGAGATTTGAAAGAAGAAAGGGGGAACATCAGGTGATACATTTTCCTAAAATGTTAAGTAAATAATAAACACTTCCAACCAGGGACACAGAGGCTTAAAGAGCTAAGTATAGTACCTGAAGGAACCCTAGGGCTGGGTCCTCAAACACATCCATCTCCACAGTGGAAACTTAACTTGACAGCAAGAGCCATGGACACTTGGGTGGAAAAATTTGGTGATGGGTGGGGGAAGGGAAGCAGGCACCCTGCAGAAAAAGTACTTCCTTTCCTGTTTTTTTTTTGGCATCTGTAGCTTATTCCTAAGCAGCCAAGGTCTGGGACACCAGGGATTCCCCTACAACCCAGGCGGTCTGGTGGCCAACCTGGGGAAAGAGATAGGGTGGAGGCAGGAAATAGTGGAGTTAATGGTGCCATAATGTATTTTCTGGGGTAGAAACAGATTACATGTTCAAAAAGGAAACTATCTGGCCTTCCTAGCTAGGATTTATCCTCTCCTCTCCTGACATTTTGTTTCTATTAAAACCTCATTTTTCTTGGCCTTCAAATCTGACACAATTTTGTATTTTAGATAAACACACATAAGAAATAATCTTTAACTCCGATGCCCTCAATGGTCCCTCTTCTTTTTTTCTCTTCTTGTTATTGACTTCCCCACCCTCTGCTGCTTTCATTTCCTAATCATCCATCTCCTTCTTGAACTACTGGACACTATCCATCACCAAATCTAGTGTTGTAAGACACCTAGCGGGACTTTGCAATTTCAGGCTTTTTCCCAGCTGGCCCAGTCTGCTTATTGTCTTCATAGTCCTCGTCCCCAGACATCACTCTTACTATGCTTTTCTTATACTCCAGAACTTGGAATGCTTCTCCATAGCTTCCTCACTCAAGACTATTCTTCCAAAAGCCTTCGTAGCATGTCCTTTACCCTATCTATTCATTTTTAGCAGTCTCCCGCATAGTGCCTTTGCATAGGCTGGCCCCACAGACAAAAATTTCTGAGCACTTACCATGTGACAATCCTTTCACCTGAAGGAATACAAAGACTTAAGGAATAGTCACTGTGAAAGCATGGTACTCCGAGTCAGGCCATTCCATGACCAAGATGCAATTTACATGAGTTACAGAGAAGAGAAGTGAAAGTATGAAATGCTCCATGAAATCTTTGTCTTGCTTGCCATAAGAAATTGACATGCTTGTACTTTGGAAAATTGCTATTTGAATACTGCCTTTCAAACTTGGCCACAAATTATTGGGTCGTCGGAAAAGTCATGATGCATTTTTGCATAGGAAAACAGAAAAAATATGTCATGACTTTTCCAACAACCCAATAGGATCATTTGGAGAGCTCTCAAAAACCGATGCCTGGGCCTTCACTCTAGGTATTATGATTTAATAGGTTTGGCATGGCCCAGACAGGCAATGACATTTTCAGACTCCTGTAGGTGATCCTAAGGTATTGCCAGATTAAAAAAAGTCACTGATTTAGAATTGTCAAGGAATGTTGTATTCGAAATGATGGAGAAAGCATTTGGAGACCCTTCTTAGTGGGATGAAAGGAATGTACACCCTAATCCAAATTCTCTCTCCTCTCCTCAAAATACATATTTTTAAATTATTTTGTGCCTTCTTATCCTGACATAAGTGTAGACAAGGCCTACCTATGGCAAAAGTGATCATATCTCAGAGTTACCTATTCTAGGCTGGCCCTAGAAACCTAAACACACCTTTCCCTCTTCTTCTCTGTCCCTTGTCTCCTTGACCTACAGAGAGAGGCTTCCTGCTAATTTCTTTAAGTTTCAGTTCCGGAATGTGGAATACAGTTCTGGGCGGAACAAGACCTTCCTCTGCTATGTGGTTGAAGCGCAGGCAAAGGGAGGCCAAGTGCAGGCGACCCGGGGATACCTAGAGGATGAGCATGCAGCCGCCCATGCAGAAGAAGCTTTCTTCAACACCATCCTGCCAGCTTTTGACCCAGCCCTGCGGTACAATGTCACCTGGTACGTGTCCTCCAGTCCCTGTGCAGCCTGTGCTGACCGCATTATCAAAACCCTTAGCAAGACCAAAAACCTGCGTCTGCTCATACTGGTGGGTCGACTCTTCATGTGGGAGGAGCCAGAGATCCAGGCTGCTCTGAGGAAGATGAGAGAGGCTGGCTGCAAACTGCGCATCATGAAGCCCCAGGACTTCGAGTACATCTGGCAGAATTTTGTGGAGCAAGAAGAGGGTGAATCTAAGGCCTTTGAGCCCTGGGAGGACATTCAGGAGAACTTCCTATACTATGAGGAGAAGCTGGCAGATATCCTGAAGTAGGCAACTGCACTCAGCCTCACGTGAGTTTTCCTTGGTACTATGGCATCATCAATTTTTAGCTACTGACTTGGGTGCAAGCTTTGAGGTCAGGTAGAATGAGTTTGGTATTCCTTTGGGGAAAAAAAAGGACTTAATTTCTCTGTGTTCAGTTGGCTGTATAAACGGTTTGGACCATCCCACCCCACTTTCTCTTTCCTCAGAATTCCTCTCCCTAAACTCTTTTCCCACTTTCTCCTTTATCTCAAGTTCCCATAATTCCCATATCTTGGAATACTTAAGGCTGATAGGGATTCTAAGTTTGGGTGAGACAGAAATAACCTTTGGTAAGCTCTGGATGGCACAAGGACCCAAACAGCAACAAGGAAGATATTTGAAAGCCGTGAGAGAGCTCCCACGCACATGTGTTCAGTCATTAACTCTGGACACCTTTCTAGATGCCCTCCTCCTACACCAATTTGCAATCTCACCATTTCATTTTTGTCTAATACAATTTTCTCATCCCTTCAGGAGCCATTTTTTTCATTTTTGGTAATTTTGAAATTCCTCAAGTGGATTTGCATTCAACTTTTTTTTTTTTGGTCAGACCTGCTTTTATGTTTCCAACCAAATGGTTGTGCTTTGAGGAAACCACTAATTGCTATGTGAGTGCATAATGCAAGAACATTTCCCTTATGTTGAGGAGATCTCAGAACTCATGAAAAATGCTGAGTGCAGGAATGGGGATAATATGGCAACAAGCTAGTCTATGCTGTACTGTCCAGTGGGTTAAAAAGATGTTTGTAAATTAGGCAGCGATTCAGAAGTAGCCTCCTACAGATATCAAGAGGTGACAGGAGAACTGGAAGTAAAGATTAGCTATTTAATCAAATAATTAGGACACAATTAAGGCCAATTTGGCCTCTTGCTGAGGGTAAATTAGACTCTTACAGAAATAGGCCAATTACCCTCAGGAAAGAGGGTAAAAGATCTTTTACTATCTTTTTTTTTTGATTTTGGCCTGATCTAGTCCCTTCCATAGAAATGTTATGACTAAACCCCTTTACAAGGTCCAGGTCTACTGATCAAAATCTTACAGTAATTCACAAGGGGTCTTCATCACCCTCTTATCCACCTTTAATCTAAATAACTCACACTAAATAAAAGGTGAAAGCAACATGCTTCCATGAAGATAGTTCCATTTCTTTTGGTGTTTCTCACACCTAATACCCTTAAGAGAAGATGTCGCTCATAGCCACATTTAAGAAATATCCATGTTCCAGAGCTTGATGTTGGCAGGTGTTTTCTATTAGACATGCACACAGGGCATTCTCAAGCATTTGCCAATCCTTGAAGACATACCTTTCTGCATTTCTTACAAAAAGCAGGAGCCGGTCATTGAATTCAGTGAGCTAGTAGACTAGCATGCCATGTGGTACTCGGATCACATCAGACATCAACTGGCTAATGCTGAGCAGTGGGAAAAACAGATAGCCCAGGGTGACCTCTAAAAACACAAAGCTTAACTTTTAAAATTTCTTACAAATTTTGTTAATGTGTATCACTGTAATTATAAATCCAACCTAAATTCTACAGAATGATGATAGGTAGCTTCATGTTAATCCTACTATATTGGGTTGTCAGAAAAATCATGATGTATTTTTCTACGCAAAATTAAAAAAAAAAAAAAACACTTTTCCAACCCAATACTTTCTTCTGAAATATCTTTCAGAGTCATGGGGCCACTGCTGCCAGCTGCCTGCCTATCAAGCCCTTATAGACTATTTTCTAGGGATTTTTCACTAAAATTAAACACTTCATGGAGGAATAAAGACCTTTTAATTCTGGATAATTAAGAGTAGTACTTCTTTACTCCTCTAAACAGAATCAATCGGTTTGAGGAAAAAGTCCATTTCTAAGTCAGATTATTTTAAATAAAATGTTATTTGACTTAATTCTACATAAGCCTCCTTCCATTAAGTGTGTATTTCCTGGACATACGCATATGCTTCACTTGAGTTGCTCGTGTTCCCAAAGAGAAAGGCTAAAACGTACCAAATTAAAAAAAATAAATAGATATGTAATTGTCATCTATAAAACCAAAAGAGCTACCCTATTTAATAATCTAAGGCATGAACATTTGTTAAATAAATCTGTTTCATCGTAACAGAAATGACCCAGACTAGTCGGTCCACAGCGTACTGGACTGCAGTGCTAGAAGCCACATGGCCAACTATCGGTTTGGATCCCAAGTTGGCCCCAAAAAAGCAGAGCACGTGCAGCTGCCCAAGATCCTGAGAAGCTGGAGAGCTGGGCATCATAGCATGAGCCTTGTTCAGAGTACTTTCTCTTTTTCTCTCTTGCACACATGATCATAAAAAATTTTTTTAGGAAAAAAAACAGGGGACCAACAGATGGCATACTGGTTACATAGCTGGGCTCCCACAGAGTCGACCATGGTTCGAGTCCCGGACCTGGTGGCTTGAAACTTATGGCGGGTGTGTTTGCGTGTGTGCCCAAGATCCTAGGAAGAGAATGGTGGAGGGGGATTGCAGCGAGACCATCACTGCTGGGGGTTCTCTCCTGTTTTCTGTCTCTGTCTCTCTAGGCAGTGCATGCACCCTATAGCAAAAATCCCTCTTTAAAAATAAATAAATAAATAAATAATGGAATAGTGTTTAACCATATATTTAATTCAAGACAACAGAGGAAAAGCAGATCTCTCTGGGTTTTGTTTTCTCTGTAGGACTACACTAAAATGTGAATGAAAGAAACAAACCCAATCCTTAAACCAGAAACCACAGGGGACCATGGGAGAGAAATTCAGCAATTTGTTAGGGAAGGCACCCAAAAACCTTAGCTCGAGAAGAAACTTTTAACTGTTTGAGGTCAGCAGGGCTCTCAGTAACATATTTTTTATTTTTTCACCAAGGTCTGCCTGCTGCCACCAAGAGATAGCAGTACATGTATGGCCATCGGGGACATGCTTGTCTTTCTCATACCACTTGGAGCTGGACAACATTCAACACCAACCAATCCTACTAAACGATGCTTTCAAAGAACTCAAACTATACTTCTCATGTTGTAATTCAGTTGGGCTGTGCCTCTCTCTAAGGCTGCTTGCTCTTAGGAAACAGCCAAGTGAGCTGCAAGGAGAGAAATGTAACCATATATACATCTGTGGGGCTGACAGTCCTCATTACTCCCTAAAAGGACTGCTCAAGAGAAAGACCCTTAGATCCCAGGTACAGCTTTTGAAACATGTCCAAAACTCTATTTTATGGTAAGTTGATTTGTCCTTTTTTAAAGAAAAACAGCAATATTAATAAAAGAAATGGTGTGATTTTTCTGTGGCTAGGTTTTTTATAAAAAAAATTTGACTTCTAGAGACAAGAATGGTGACATTGCTGAACTCCCACGTGGTCAACTGAGGTTCAAGTCCTGGACCTAGAGGCTTGAAACTCACACTGGGCGCATGGACATGTGTGCCCAAAATCCAAGAGGAGAAGGGATTGTGGCCTGGCCACCCCCGCTGGGGAGTGATTTCTCACTTTTTGTCTCTCTGTGGAGCACACAGACCCTTTTAGCAAAAAGGTCTCTAAAAAAAATTTTTTTTGGACAGCTATTGTTGCCAAGGACAGTGAGCAGGTCCCAAGCAAAAGGATGTCTTAGACTACAAACCAAAACATATATTTCCTTCTCTGAAGACAAGGAAAATGGCATAAGGTGGAATCAAATCCACGAGAAATCTGTCATAAGGTAGCTATATCCCAATTGCTAATTAATGAGCAATTAGCTTCTTGATTAAAGGAAAACAGGTGCAAAGGAGGAGTTCAACAGATACACATCATGTAAGAATATTCAGTATGTGGTAGTTGATAATAGCAAGGTGATGTCAAGTCTCTTTTCTTAAAAGGTTTGCACCCTGTGTGAAAGCAAAATTTCACATGTGAATTTCTGGGTGTTTGCCAAACTGTAACGAGGTTTCCAGGAACAATATGTTTATTCTGATTATCAGGGCATGTCTCCTCTCCCCAGGCTTCAAGTGTGATAAGTCATAGGAATTTGACCCCAAGACTATCTGCAAATGACGAAGCACTTTATCACACTGCTGCTGTGTCTAGAATTCAACTCACAGCCAGTCCTGGTTGGTTTTATTAAAGAATCAAGGTTCATACTCTATGAAAAATTTAACTGCAATTTTTTTTTTTAATTTTGCCAGAGAGTACATATGCTCACAAGAGACAGAAGAGAGGAGTGGAAAGAGAAAAAGCATGCCCCCTCCCCATGGGACACGGTCACATCACAATCCCTTCTCCTCCATTTTCCCCTCCTTTTAAGATTTTAGGCAGGCACACAAATGTGCCCAGCATGGTTTTTAAGCTTCCAGGTCCAAGACCCAAATCACAAGGTCAGCCATGTGGGACCCAGCTGCCTTAATCACCAAGCTATAGGCTGGTGCAACCACAGAACTTTTAAAGATGGAGGAAGCCTAGAAAACCACTGTTTTGATCCAAGTGTTAAAATGTATTTGCAGTGGGGGACCAGCAGTTAGCGTAATGGCTATGTCGCTGGGCTCCCACGTAGTCGACCGCAGTTCGCGTCCCAGACCCAGTGGCTTAAAACTCATGCCGGGAGCGTGTGCATGCGTGCCCAAGATCCCGAAAGAAGAATGGAGGAAAAGGGATTGTGGTGTGACCATCCCCCGCGGGGGGTGATTTCTCGCTTTCTGTCTAGCTCTCTCCTTCTGTCTGGCAAGTGCACGCACCCTATAGCGAAAACCTCTCCAAAAAAAAAAAAAAAGTATTTGTAGTTAAGCAAAATACCTTAATTCTTTAGGTTTCCTTTTATCATCTCACTCTTTTCATTTCACTCAATCTGTGTATTTAGAGTCTCTCCCTTTTTTTCTCTTCAATTTTACTTTATTTAGACTGAAGCGAAGTTTCAAGGAAAGCCTCAGTATAACAATTTGATACTGAACTTGCCCTTGCATTGCTCCTCCTCCAACAACAGAGAACCCCTCTGCTCCAAATGGAGATATTAGCATGAAATACCTTTTGAAACTGCTGCCTCCTATCAGGCTGAAATGTGATAAGAGCACAAGTCTAAAGTACGAAGAGTATATTTAACCAGTGCTTTCCTGGTGTTTCAACAAGACCTTTCTAAAGGCCAGCTGTTCATTTACTTTAGGGAAAGCAGCAAGTCCTGTGACACACTCAGGGCTCACCCTAAGGAGAAAATCAGTAAGTCTGGCTGTTTTAAATCTCAACATCACATTAAGGGGAAAAATGCCCAATAGGGCTAATACTGAACCACTGGCTAAATCCACGAACCCACCACAAAACAAGAGAGTACTTGTCCTCTTAGCTGGAAAGAAAAGGGGACTAATATTTACCGCAGTGTCCTTGATATGCCAGTTGGTTGTACATCAGAATTTTCTAAGGTTAAAAACACAAAGAAACCTGGCCATTCTATCCTGCCACCAAATTAGAATTTTTTGAGAGGAAGTGGCCTTGAATTTTTAAAAGATGCACATGGATTTGATCGTGAACCACTGATTTACTGAGTCACTACTTTGTGCTAAACACTCTTCTAATCACTTAACATGTTATTCCATTTGTTTTATGATTAAATCCAGATAGATTCAGTCACAGTAACCATACAGTGGTCAGAAGAGTTCACCATGGAGATTCTAAAAACCTGCCTTTTGACTATGTTGATCCATAGTTCTTGTCCACTTATGTTCACTGTGTTTCTTCACCTTGCTAGTCCCACTGCATCTCTGTGTGACTTTTCAAAATTAAGTTACAGGGACCAGCAGTTAGCGTAATGGCTATGTCGCTGGACTCTCACATAGTCGACCGTGGCTCGAGTCCCGGACCCTGTGGCTTAAAACTCATGCCGGGCGCGTGTGCGTGCATGCCCAAGATCCCAAGAGGAGAATGGAGGAGAAGGGATTGTGGCGTGGCCATCCCCCTGGGGGGTGATTTCTTGCTTTCTGTCTCTATGTCTCTCTGTGTCTGTCTGGCGAGCCGCCCCCTAGAGCAAAAACCCCTTCCAAAAAAAAAAAAAAATTAAGTTACAGGCGAATCTTCCATTACCCAAACCCAAAACAACACAAAAAATGAGCACAGAACTTCATTGAACCCCAAGAAAAAGATTTATTTTTCCATTTCTGTCAGCAAATTCCTTAACAATGTAGGACTCAATTTTGTAATTAAAATAAAGAAATAATCCAAAATTCTCTCCTAGGTTGAATTTGATGACATGAACGATAACACCGAATTAAGTGTACAAACAAGATACGTAAACTCACTCACATCTTCATCCTTCCCGAAATTTCTCTTAAAAAGCAGAGAAGTAGAATCAATGCTGCCACCTAGTGGCCAACCAAACAAATCAGGTAGTATACTGGAGCAAAACAAGAGGTCACAGAGGAAACCATCTGGTTTCCCTGCCTAGTATCAGGCCACTTACTCCTTGCTTTCCTGCAAAAACAAACAAACACAATGGCATATCCCAAACAATCCCTCTTTCCAGGGTCCCAGTCCAAACACTGACATATAGCAACCCAAGTCTGGCTTGTGAAACAGACTATCTTGCATGAAATTTTCTTGCCCACTTTGAGGTCAGTTTGCCCAGTCCTATGGCCCAACAGGAATGATACAGTAGAACATGGACATATCCAAAATGTTCATCTGTTCAGAGGGTATACACAGTAATTCTGATGTCTGTTGCTTCAAATACCTCCTCAATAATTGCAGATACATTTTCCCACTGCAGACGATCAAGACCACACCCAATCCTGAAAGACAAAAGATCTCCATTGGTTGTGATAAAGGCATACAGGAAATGGTCCTTTCCCTCTTCCTTTAGGCTGAATTCACGCAAAGCATAGAAACAAGTTATCTGGTCTCATAGGCAGGTGGGCATCCGGATGTTCTTTTGAGAGTCATCCACAACCATTCCTAGGGAGTCCTAACATCCCACAGTTGTCATTTCTCTTTACCTAAGATCATACTACTCGGGGCTGGCAGGTAGCGTGGTGGTTAAGGATGCTGGACTCTCACATGGCTGACAGTGGATTAAGTCCCAGACCTGGTGGCTTGCTTTCTCTGTCCCTCTCTGGTCAAAATTAAAAATAAATAAAATAAAATAATTCTTGGGGAAACAAAAAACACTACTTTCTAATTACTTCATGCTACACTTAGATAACTATAACTCTACCATGAGTTTAACAGGGGACTATCCTTTTATGATGAAAACTGGCTGTGGGGGGATGGGAAAGGATTGGTATTTCTTAAATACATGTGTAGGCCCAGTATGGTGGCACAAGCAGTAGAGCACTGCTGTGCAATACTGGAGCCACACGGGAAAGTCCTAGGTTCAGTTCCTGGGTCAACCTGAACGTGCCAGGCACACCTGCAGCTACATCAGTGATCCCGGCTGGCTGGAAGGTTGACTATGCCATGATAAAACCGTCAGGAGTCCCTATTTCAGTATCTGGGCCTTTCTCTCTCATGAAACAAAGAGACTAAAATAAAATTTTAAAATGTACGTAGGTAATGTAAGATTAAAGATAAAAAGAGGGACAAAGCACAGGATTTTTTGACTACAAAAAATGAAGTTAAGATGGAATGTTGAGAAATGCCCAGCTAGTTGTCACCCAGAAGTAAAGTCTCTGCAACAGTAAAGTGAAAAATCTCAACTGGCCCTTAAAACTCAACGACCTGGCTCCTTTCTTCTAAAATATTACTTTATTATCAACATTCCTAGAGGAAAAAAGGGAGGCTTAACAGTGCTAATTTCACATCACAATATGAAAATTAAGTCCTTGAACTGGGATTTAAAAATTGTTTCTGATACATAAGCCATAAACATATTAAAGACCACTGAGATATAATGACACTATAGCCACAAAGTAACGTGGAGCTGGAACAAACCTATATGCATGGTAAGAGCTGAACTGAACTACTAGGATGAGAAAAAGCCCAAGAGGGAAACCACAACTGCTCAGTCTTGGTTCTTTAGCTCACAATGCTTCAGGAATAGAGGCCATGCTTCCTGCAGAGGATGCCAGAAATTCAACAAGTGGGACCAATCGGCAATAGTTCCTCCCCACTAAAGCTGAGGCAGGTGTGTATATCATTTTAATTTTCCTGGTTTATTCACCTCAAGCCAGAAAATGGCTATGCTTTGGTCTAAGGTCAGATAACTGGTTTACTGGTGATTTTACAAAATTTTGAAATTTCTTCATCTTTAAAGCTGTATTTTGAAATAAAGTCTTAAGTTATTTATTTTGGATAAAACAATAAGCACCGCCAACCAATTAAAGCTTCATTTAGGACCCTGGGATTTCCTTGCCTGGGCATGGAGAGGTCAGTGACTCCATTCTTCAGACAATGGGTCTTCATGGCCTCTAAACTCATCCGTAAGTTTTCATAAGTTGGCTTGTGCGAAGCCCTTTTCTTTGTAATCTGAACACAAAGAAAGATTCAAATTTTCATTAGCCTAAAACAACAGCCAACAAAAATGCCATCACAATTCCCCAACATCCTGGTAATGGAAGTGCATTTGCATAGACTAGTACAAGTGTCATACTGCCCTTTCCACAAGGTTATGGGAGGCCCTCAGAACTCACAAACTAGGGAATGAGAAATCCAGACTCTGCCATACAGTAACCATGCTTTCCCAAGGAAGCCCGTGAGATTAGCTGGTTGTGCCTATTGCCAACCGCTTTAAGCAAGGGAGGTCAAAGTTTTTGTCACTTGTAAGAGATAAGCTGCCTCTCTTGAATAAGGAAGAACACACACCACCTGAAAATCCCCAAGTTTCTATTTATTTTGGAACTGTGCTTGCTAGTTTCTCTGTAAAATAGTGAGAAACAGATAGTGGTCTAAAATAAAAACACTAGAAGTCACACCAACTTTAAGAATTTAAAAGGGCACCCTCATCAGTTTGCTATCTAGAGCACACTTCTATCAGGTTGGCTGGAGGTCACCCACAACCATCACTTAGGAAACACCCTTGGACAGTTGGAGAATGCCACATTCAGGCAGGAGGCAGGACAGGAGCTGGGTAAGACTTGGTACTGCATTTAATAGGGAAGAGTAAGAAAAATCCCTTGGGAGAAGCTCTTGAAACATTATTATTTCAATCTCACTATGAGTGGGACAGAATTAAAAATGGGAAGCAAGTCTTAGAATTCAGTTCTGCAGTGAATGGCATAGTCCTCTTGCCCACAGAGCCTGTGGTCAGCCTCATGCTTCTTCCTAACCCAACTGAACCTGAGCTATCATGAGATGGCAACTTTTGGGAAATCTTGTTGTCTAACAAGGAGCACTGCAATCAAGAACAATGCAGTGCAGCCCACTTGTTCATCAATCTTGAGGATGTTTCAAGAACTGGTCCCATCTTACCAAGTAATATATATAGCGCCCATCTCTCTTCAGAACAGCCACTTCTCCAGATTTCTTTTCTGAGAAAAACAGTTATTTAATAGTAGAAAGTAAAAAACAAACAAAAAAAAACACTGACTTTCATTCTTTGATCTTTTAATCTTTACTGATCTGAGTTTATCTCAGATCTAGAATTTTCGACTGTTAAGAAATCTAAGAACATTTGTTACTAATCAGCCTTCCCACATACTGTTGTCCTAATTTCGTTTTCTTACAATCATGTTTCCTCACACCCCATCATCTTTCCTGCCCTCATTTATCCACTTAAAAAATTTTACCGTGAGGATCAGCAGACGGCAAGATGATTACGTTGCTGGACTCCCACATACCCAACGTTTGAGTCCCAGACTGGACAGTTTAAAACTCCTGTCGGCTGTGTGCACGTGCATGCCCAAGATCCCCAGAGGAAGATGGAGAAGGAATTGCTGCAAGGCCATCCCCCCAGGGGATGATTTCTCACTTTCTCTGTCTCTCCAGTGAGTGCATGTGTCCTATAGCAAAAATCTATTAAGATAAATAAATAAATAATGTTAGGGCCAGCCAGGAGATAGACTGTGAGTGTGTGTGTGTGTGTGTAGGTGCTGAAACCCACATGGCCAATCTGCAGTTCGAGTCCCAGACCTGGTGACTTGAAACCACACCAGTTCATGTGCATGCATGCCCAAAATCCTGAGAGAAGAATGGAGAAAAAGGGACTCTGGCATGACCATCCCCTGCCAGGGGGAGATTTCTCACTCTCCCATTCTTTCTCTCTGTCTCTGGCAAGCATATGTACCCTACAGCAACATTAATTAACTAATTAATTATTGCCTTGAAATTATTTTGGAGTATACATTTTTACTTAACATGTTTTCATTTAATAATGATCTTTTTACATAGAGTTTTGTTAAGCATTATGAATGGCACAGATTCATTAAAAAGTTCTTAATTATTAAGGAATTTAAATCTAGATGTATCATCTTTACAAATACCTACGATACAAAGCACTAAGAAATTGCTTTTCTCACGGCTGGGACCAGAATCACAGTGAACACTGAATTAGTAAGCCTGGAATGCAGTCTGAGAAATTGTTTCAGAAGCTCTGCAAGATTCTAATGCACATCTCTGATTCGAAGTCATGGATAGAAAGTGATGGGAAGGACCTGTAAGAAAGAGGCTTCTAAACTCCTTTTTGAAGAATAAGGATATTGCTAGTACAGGATTTTGAATACCAAATTAATACCTGTGGACTTTGCTAAACACATCAGACTTATTAATGGTTTCAGAGAAGTAGAAAAATACTATATATAACTAAAGGTTAATGATAAAGGAAAAAAGAAATTAGAAACTTTTTAAATTCTGATTTGTTGTGATAAGGGCCCAAACTAATGGCCATTCCTGTGGAGGAAAATTTAAGAGTTAACAGCACTCAAAGAGTTAGGAATTTCATCTTTGGATGCTAATAATTAAAGTATAACACAAGACCAAAAGATGCTTTAACCAGGGCAAAACTCACGTTGATTTAATAGTTCCTGCACCCCTCCAAATTTCTTCTTGAAGAGGACAGCTATCCCAGCACCCATGCGACAATCCTCACTGATACAGTGGGCTAAAGAGTCTGTCTTGGGACACGCAAAAAGATCTCCTTTCACATAAGTGATCTAAAATGCACAAAAGAAAATAAAATGCTTTACTAGATATAGAAAAACACTGAGCTATTTTTGGCGTTTTCCTTGCTTTTATTTCCCACCTATTGCTTCTCCACCTCTCCTGAAATGTAATGTAAAGTCAAATTTTCAGCATTTAAGATGTAAGTATAACAAATTAAAGCACCTGGAAAAGGAGAAATGGATATTCCGTGCCCAGAATTATATTAGCTTTGCCTAAGTAAATCAGTTGGTGTGTGTGTGTGGGGGGGGGCATTTGAATTACTGATTTAATGAAACAGTGTCTATGCTTTTGCCAATTATCCTTAAGTTCTGTTCACCAATAAGTTAATAGTTGTTACGCACTCTGCTGCCTTCTGGGTCTTCATTAAGGCTGCTGGCCATGATATTAAGTCGCTATTTCCAGAATTAAAGTGTCTCTTTAGCTATAAGAAGGGAAAAAGAAAATAAAAATTCTATTAGGCAGCCTGAATATATCAGTATTATATTTAGTTGGCCCTGACCACTACTAAGTGTTTTCCCCAACGTTTATCAATGAATGTGGTTTCGTTCAGCCTCTAGGAGGTAGCACAAAACTTTTCTGGAACAAGGAAAATAAAGAATCCCTCGATTCGGAGATCGCCTAAACCTGCTCTCATGCCGCGAGGAAGCACAGGCAGAGCTAAGACGCGCCGCCTGCTTTCTGCAGCCCGCTCTCCAGCAAGGCAGATCGAGGGCAGTCTCTTTTTTCTCTGCACGACGCGGAAAGTATTTCCCCAGTGGGTTTGGCTTAGAAGGAAAACAGGAGGGGCTTGGCCGCGGTCCCGTTAAGCCGCAGCCACCGTGTGTACAGAGCAGGGGCGTGCTGAGCCGCCGGCGGCGGGGTGGGAAGGCGGCCTCTCCACGAAGGTTCGCCCCCTCGTCCAGGGAGCGGGGAAGGAAAGTGTAAAGAAGCCGCCCATCCTGTCTCCTACCCTGGGGTGGGCCAGCGAGGGCGTAGTGTCAGTCGCGGGGCCCCCCGCTCGAGCCCCAACGTACCAGGGTCACCTTTCACCTGGAAAGGAGTCGGCGGCAGTGCGGTCCCCGCCCCGCGGGGAAGGGCTCCGGATCTGGCCCTGGTAGGCGGGGAGCAGCGGACGAGCCCAGAGCGGGGCCAATCCCGCCACAGCCCTTAATTGCATGCACCTAAGATGGCCGCCCCCGCCCGGCGGCGGGACGGAAACGAGCCCCTCTAGCTAGCCAGCCTAACTCGCACTCTTTGGTGATGGGCGCCGAACTTCCGGCTGTAATCCCCGCGGTCTCCCGCCGCGTCCCGGGCACGCGTCACGAGACCGCCGACCGCGAGTTGGGAGAGCGGCGCTTGCGCACTAGCCCCAGGGGTGTATCCTAGTGGCTGCTTAGAAGGGTGTGGACTGTTGGCAAACGGGGCAGTTAGCGCCTGCGTGGTTCTGTGCTCAGGATGGTGCGTGAGGTGGTCCGGCGCGTCTCGAAAGCGCCTGCGTAATCCTTCGCCCAGAGGTGGTGGCAAATCAGGGGTGTGGGCGTGGCTTCAGGGGACGCCTGCGCGGTGCTCTTCCAAGGGGGGAGGGAACCTAGCCCAGACCCCGGTTAGAGGGCGTGGCCTCAGCAGCGCCTGCGCAGAGGCGGTTGGAGGGAGGCCCGATTCCCCTTTGTTCGGGTTCGCCATTTTGCGAGGCAGCGGCAGTGGCGGCGGCAGCGCCTCTGATTGGGTTTCGGGGTCCGGTACTGGAGCCAATCAGCGCGGGCAGCGAACCGGGGGAGCGAGGCACGGTGAGTGTGAGGAGCCAATATCCAGCGGCCCAGAGCCGGCCCCAGCGCCCCGATTGGCGGGTCTCGCTGACCACTCAGGAGAGGCCCAGGCGCCCGTCGAGCCCGGGGAGTCTTCCTGAGCACAGCCGAGCCGGGCGGCCGGCAGCCCCGGCCTGGAGCCTGCGAGCGCCTTGGGGCACTCCCGGCCGAGGCCTGCAGGGGCCGCCTCGCGCGGGGATGGCGCGCCAGGGAGCGGGCACCTCGGGGTCCCGGTCCTTGCGGAGTGCCAGTGCCAGTTGGGTTAGCGTCCCCTCGACCCTTAGGCCCAGGTTGTCAGGCCCGGGGCTCGGGGATGGTGGGCTTGCCTGCCTCGACCGCCCCTACACTCAGGTACACACACGCGTGCCCTGGGCCTCGGCGGTTTCCTTCTGGTTGTTCCAGCCTCACACTTAAACCTGTGCTTGCAGTCTCCACGCTCCCGCCCTCGGGAAGGGAAATCTCCCGCGGGGCCTGCGTCCCCTACCCCTCTGCAGCTCATCCGGGTCGGCAGGGAGGCCCGGGGAAGATGTGCGCCGCGGCCAGAGGGCTCAAGTGTGGCGGGCAGAGCGCGCCCGCCTCCGCCTCGGAGCGCCGCGGGCCCGCCCCCGCCGTCTCCCTGGTCGGGGGAGGGGGTCCGTTGCTTTGCCCACTCCCCCCTGCCCGGACGCGCCCCTCCTCCCAGCTCCCTGGGCCCGGGTCTCAGCCCGGCGCCGTTACCACCCCCTTTGGCTCGTCATTTCCTCTCCTTCCCGCCCGCCCCGCTCGCCGGGGCAGAATAGCACACCTCGATCTTGGAGCCCAACCAAGCGGTCTTGCTTTCTTGCCCTGGCTATAAGGCCAGCCCGTTCGATTCCTGGAACCTCACTGCTAAAAGGTCCACAGACCTGCGCGTTCTTTTACACGGAAGCTGCACAAATTGCTGTTAATATTGTTGGTCTTATCCATTGCTCGTTCTGTGAACTCTTCCTTCTCTTGGGAACGTTCTAGTTTTCTTTCTTTTTACCTTGGGCATGTTAGGCTTGACTCCTTAGTTCGGTCTGCACATCTCTTGGTTTATTTTTTCTGATGTATTTTCTAATCCACTGTTAATGTTTTCTCAGTATATGTTTGGAAACTTAACAGTGTTGTGGGGGTTTCCTTAGGATGGTAGGAAATCTCCATTGGCAACTAATCGTCCAGCAGTATTCGTGTGTGCTAGGTGTCATCTGTGTGCTGGGAAGGAGTGGGTAGTCTGAAACAAGAACAGTTTCTGTCTGGTTGAGATTGACCGATGTATGGCTAATTAATTAGCTATACAAAACCTGCTGCAAAAGGGCAGGTTCAGTCCTGTAAAAACACTGATGCATGAACCAGCACCAGCCTCGGTGAAAACCGCCACACTTTTGATTGGCCTTTACGGATGATGGGTTTTCTGAAGACCAGGAAAATGGAAGAGCATTGCTCTCAGAGAGAAAAAGGATGTACAGAGGCACCAAATTGGTGTGTTTTGAAGTGGAAATATGGGACAGTAAGTGGGCAGTAGCCTTGAGATTCTAGGCTGGGAAAGCTTAGTTGTCCAAAATATCTATTTATCTTACTAAGGAATTTTTTGAAAGAAGTAATTTTGTCTGGAGATTCAGGTAGAAAGGATTTGGGATATATATAAATACATATATGTGTGTATTATATATGTGTATATATATTTTTTTTTAAGATTAAAAAAAAGTTTTTGCTTTTAATAGTGGGCGATGTCTTTTAGGAAAGAAAAGGAGCGTTTTCTGCTAAAAGCCTATACGTTTTTACTCATTGAAGCATCTAGTGCAGTTCCTGGTACATAGAGTAGGTCTCCAATAATGTAATAATGTAATACCCATTATTTTTACATCACATTTCCCAAAATCGTGCAACTAGTAAGTTTTAGAAGACTCCCAGCCCAGTGCTTTTGTCACTACTAAATCTTTGGGGAACAGTTTTGTTTTTATCTTTTTTTTTTTTGTTTTTGTTTTCCTTTAATTTCCAGAAGGCATGTGTGCTCCAGAGAGAGAAAGAAAAAAAAAAAATCCCCAATTGGGATGTGATCATACTGTAGTCTCTCCTCCATTCCTCCATCCTGTGTGGATTTTAGGAGTTCACATTCATGTCCAACTAGGAGTGCACATTCATGTCCAACTTGTTTTTAAAGCCACTGGGGTCAGGATTTGAACCGACATAAGGGATGAAGCCCCCTTAACCACTCTACCACAGGGCAGGCCCTGTTTTCATTTTTTAAGCCTTTTTCATTGTTGATTAAATCATTTTTCTAGATTTATTTAATCACTACATTATCCACAGTAGTAGATGAAGCAGCATGGCTTAGGCATTTTTAAAAACATTTATATTTGCGTTTGGATTAGATGTTTTAACTTTGATATTTAAAAATGGGTTATATGGCCAGCAAGTGGCATGGTGGTTAAGGCTGCTAAATCTCACGTGATAGACTATGCAGTTTAAGTCCCAGACCCAGTAGCTTGAAAATCATAGCAGGTGCATATGTGCGCCTGCCCAAAATTGTGAGAGGATAAATAGAGGAGGAAGGATTGCATCATGACCACCCCCCCACACTCCGGGGGGAGGTGTTTTCTCACTTCCTCTCTGTTTCTGGCAAGCGCAAACTGAAAAAAGGAGAAGTACATTTGGTCACAAAACTAACAAATACTTTACTAGACAACTTTCTAAGAAACAGTTATAGTGTAGTCACTTTTTTGTTAAGTGCCTGTAGAGCCCACCTGTCTGCAGAAGAATTTCTTTTCCTGGTATTTTGAGTGAACAGTGATGTGGCCTATCGTCTGTAAGACTGTGAGGCCTTTTTAGACTACTGTTCGTGTGCTGAAATATTTCCGTCCTGTTTTTATGGTCTCCATTTGGAGTACTCGCACCCTACCACGTCATCACACAAGTAAATCCATCTTACACCTAAGATAAGTTCACATGGTACCTTTTTCTAAAGAAGTCCTTGATTTATTCCCAGCCTGAAATCTTTGTTCTCACCCCCCCCCCAAAAAGATGATTTAAAGTTAGGTTCTTCATCAGTTTCTTTTTTTTCAATTAATTATATGTGTGTGTGTGTGTGTGTGTGTGTGTATATATATATATATATGTGGTTTTTTGTTTGTTTTTGGTTTTTTTCTCATTTGACTAGAGGAGAGAGAAAGCAAGCCACCAGGTCTAGGACTCGAACCATGGTTGGCCATCTGGGAGTCCAACACCTTAACCACCATGCCACCAGCCAGCACCCATCAGAGTTTATTTCTAAGAACTGTGAGAACATTGGATGGCACATCATTAGTGGAGAGGAATGAATTAGGAAGCTTCAGTTCAGAAACCCCTGTAGGATGATGGAGAAACTGGACAGCCCTTTGCTATTTAATCTAATCTGCCACACACAGATGAGGACCCCCGCCACACTTTTGATTGGCCTTTACGGATGATGGGTTTTCTGAAGACCAGGAAAATGGAAGAGCATTGCTCTCAGAGAGAAAAAGGATGTACAGAGGCACCAAATTGGTGTGTTTTGAAGTGGAAATATGGGACAGTAAGTGGGCAGTAGCCTTGAGATTCTAGGCTGGGAAAGCTTAGTTGTCCAAAATATCTATTTATCTTACTAAGGAATTTTTTGAAAGAAGTAATTTTGTCTGGAGATTCAGGTAGAAAGGATTTGGGATATATATAAATACATATATGTGTGTATTATATATGTGTATATATATTTTTTTTTAAGATTAAAAAAAAGTTTTTGCTTTTAATAGTGGGCGATGTCTTTTAGGAAAGAAAAGGAGCGTTTTCTGCTAAAAGCCTATACGTTTTTACTCATTGAAGCATCTAGTGCAGTTCCTGGTACATAGAGTAGGTCTCCAATAATGTAATAATGTAATACCCATTATTTTTACATCACATTTCCCAAAATCGTGCAACTAGTAAGTTTTAGAAGACTCCCAGCCCAGTGCTTTTGTCACTACTAAATCTTTGGGGAACAGTTTTGTTTTTATCTTTTTTTTTTTTGTTTTTGTTTTCCTTTAATTTCCAGAAGGCATGTGTGCTCCAGAGAGAGAAAGAAAAAAAAAAAATCCCCAATTGGGATGTGATCATACTGTAGTCTCTCCTCCATTCCTCCATCCTGTGTGGATTTTAGGAGTTCACATTCATGTCCAACTTGTTTTTCAAGCCACTGGGGTCAGGATTTGAACCGACATAAGGGATGAAGCCCCCTTAACCACTCTACCACAGGGCAGGCCCTGTTTTCATTTTTTAAGACTTTTTCATTGTTGATTAAATCATTTTTCTAGATTTATTTAATCACTACATTATCCACAGTAGTAGATGAAGCAGCATGGCTTAGGCATTTTTAAAAACATTTATATTTGCGTTTGGATTAGATGTTTTAACTTTGATATTTAAAAATGGGTTATATGGCCAGCAAGTGGCATGGTGGTTAAGGCTGCTAAATCTCACGTGATAGACTATGCAGTTTAAGTCCCAGACCCAGTAGCTTGAAAATCATAGCAGGTGCATATGTGCGCCTGCCCAAAATTGTGAGAGGATAAATAGAGGAGGAAGGATTGCATCATGACCACCCCCCCACACTCCGGGGGGAGGTGTTTTCTCACTTCCTCTCTGTTTCTGGCAAGCGCAAACTGAAAAAAGGAGAAGTACATTTGGTCACAAAACTAACAAATACTTTACTAGACAACTTTCTAAGAAACAGTTATAGTGTAGTCACTTTTTTGTTAAGTGCCTGTAGAGCCCACCTGTCTGCAGAAGAATTTCTTTTCCTGGTATTTTGAGTGAACAGTGATGTGGCCTATCGTCTGTAAGACTGTGAGGCCTTTTTAGACTACTGTTCGTGTGCTGAAATATTTCCGTCCTGTTTTTATGGTCTCCATTTGGAGTACTCGCACCCTACCACGTCATCACACAAGTAAATCCATCTTACACCTAAGATAAGTTCACATGGTACCTTTTTCTAAAGAAGTCCTTGATTTATTCCCAGCCTGAAATCTTTGTTCTCACCCCCCCCCAAAAAAGATGATTTAAAGTTAGGTTCTTCATCAGTTTCTTTTTTTTCAATTAATTATATGTGTGTGTGTGTGTGTGTGTGTGTGTATATATATATATATATGTGGTTTTTTGTTTGTTTTTGGTTTTTTTCTCATTTGACTAGAGGAGAGAGAAAGCAAGCCACCAGGTCTAGGACTCGAACCATGGTTGGCCATCTGGGAGTCCAACACCTTAACCACCATGCCACCAGCCAGCACCCATCAGAGTTTATTTCTAAGAACTGTGAGAACATTGGATGGCACATCATTAGTGGAGAGGAATGAATTAGGAAGCTTCAGTTCAGAAACCCCTGTAGGATGATGGAGAAACTGGACAGCCCTTTGCTATTTAATCTAATCTGCCACACACAGATGAGGACCCTTTTGTTGAGTTGTGAAATACGTTTAGTGGCCCACTACTAACAGCTTTTTATAATAGAAAATGTGAAAGTGGGTCTTACACTGTTTCATGAACCCTTTGTTTCAGATACATGTATTTTTTGTGTTGTGTGTGTGTTGCGTTGTCATAAAAAATTGTGTTTCCTACTATGGGTGTGGTCAAAAAAAAAATCAAAGCTACCTTTCTAGTCTTTGCCTAGTGCTGATTGTCAAATGTGGTAATCAGAGCTCTTGAGAAACAGAGAGACAGGAAGCAAGAAATGACTCCCTCCGGGTGGTGGCCACACCGCAATCCCTTCTCTTCTATTCTCTCCTTGGGATTTTGGGCACACATTCACATGTGCCTGGCCTGAGTTTTAAGCCACCAGGTCTGGGGCTCAAACCGCAGTCAACTATGTGGGAGTCCAGCAATGTAACCATTACACCATCTGCGGGTCCCAGAGCTCTTTTTATATGTTTGTAGTTTAGTTCCTGGAAGTTACATTTTACAGTCTAAGCTGTGTATAGGCCCACATAAAATGGGTTCCTTAATGGTTGGCTAAATTTCAGTCTGCACCTTGAAATGGCAAGGCAGAGATGCTGTAGGAAAGGAATTTTCATACTGGCCAGAATAAACAAACATCCATTCTTTTTCTCTGAGGTAAAAACATTCAAAACATTGTGTTAGAAACAGGAGTTAGACTTAATCTGGCTAACTTAATCTTGGGCAGAGAGGCATTTAAGGAAAGCCATGTCAGATTGCATTGCAGTTCTGCTGGCTGAAACTCACAGGTAGGAACCTGTGGCTTCCCTGAAGCCAGTTGTTTGTAGCATTCCTCATTAGCAATCCCGATGTGCTCCAAGCTGAATCACCTCCTAGTTAACGGGAGAGAAGATTGCTACTCAACCTGGAGCTGCTTCCTTTTTTACCCATTAAGGTATAGTGCATTTAAATGTCCTCAAATTGATTCATTTGTATTATCAGGTTCACTAGTTCAGAAAATCTGTATGCTCTTACAATTATTAGTCATTCACATGTGCTTTAAGTTACATATTTTTTCTTATAAAATGCAGATTTTTGGAAATTAGCCAAAGGAAAAAAAATTTTTTTTTTTTTGAGAAGTTTTCGCTATAGGGCGCGTGCGCTCGCCAGACAGACAGAGAGAAAGAGACGAAGAGACAGAAAGCGAGAAATCACCCCCAGGGGGGATGGTCACGCCGCAATCCCTTCTCCTCCATTCTCCTCTCGGGATCTTGGGCACGCACGCACACGCGCCTGGCATGAGTTCTAAGCCACCGGGTCCGGGACGCAAACCGCAGTCGACTACGTGGGAGTCCAGTGACATAGCCATTATGCTAACTGCTGGTTCCCCAAAGGAAAAAAATTCTTAAGAAAGGGACTTGGGGACTGGGGAGGTATAAAAATTATGTAAGGGAAACTTCAGAAAGTTCATGGAAAATTAAAAAAAAAAAAAAACTATTTCTCCATCAAGTTGAAGATACTTCTTCTGTAAGTCCATCCCTAGAGAACTGAGGGTCATCTTTTTTGCCTTGATTGGACCACTTCACGTTTTGGTAGCCACTGCTTTGATTTTACTTCATTTTTTGAATCATACTGGCAAAACTGTGTATTATCTCCTATTACAAGTCTTTGAAGAATATTTCAGGATCTTGAGAAATTTCCATCAAAAGCTCTTTTCTTGTCTACTGCTGATCTGGGCCACAACTGATTTGGCACCCACCAAGCAGAAAACTTGCCCAACTTAAATTTTTCAGTCAGAAATGTGTAAACTGAAGCAATTTGAAATATCCGTGGTGTTGGCTGTTCTCTGCTGTTAATCGTCAGTCCTCTTCAGTTCGGGCACCGGCAGGATTAAATTTTTCCTTGGCTAATTGTCGTGGATGATCTGCTGCAGTAGGACCTACATCACCTCATCTCTTTTTGAACCAGTTATCCTTCGTAAACTGTTGATTTCTTCATGGCATTGTCCCCAGGACGTTTTTTTTATAGAGAGTACTTGCATTTACCAGGGGGTAGAAGGGAAGCGTCGCACCATGGCGCGTGATCGTGCTGCAGTCCTTTCTCCTCCATTTCTACGTCCTGTTGGGATTTGGGGCACATGCACCCAGTGTGCTTTTTAAGCCTCGGCCTGGATTCAAACCACGCTTGGCATATATAATCTGTCTCTCTCTACCACTAGTTCACGGGACTGCTTCCCCAACACATTTTTTTGTAGAGCATCAGCAGTTTTACCATTCTTCCACATAAGCTTTGTGCTTGATGTTGGTTCTTCAGTTTTAGCAGAATTCATGTTTCCCTGATAGGAGCTTTTATCAAATTGAGTCAGCCTTATAAGTGCCTCAAACTAGATTCAAGTAAGAAATATAAAAAGTTAATGTAAGTGGGGCCAGCAGGTGGCACCAGGTTAAGGCACTGGATCCCCCATGGCCAGGTCTGCTGTTGGTGGCCTAAAAAACACGCTGGGCACATGTGCCTGCATACCATGCCCAAAATCTAGAATGGAGTGTGGTGTGGCCATGCCCCCTGGGAGGTGGTCTCTCACTTTCCCTCTCTGTCTAGCACAGGAGCCCTTAGGGTTTTTTGTTGTTGTTTTGCAGAATTATTTTATTTAACTTTATTTGTTCATTTTATTTTAATTTGACGAGAGAGAGAAAAAGTGAGAAAGCAAGCTGCCAGGTCTGGGACGCAGAGCATAGCCATGTGGGAATCCAGCATCTTTAACCACCATGCCACCCGCCGCCACCCCCCCAAATTTTTTTAAAATAAAAATACCAGTGTATTTTGATACAAAATTCTGAAATGTAGTCTTGTTTTTTATAACATGCATTTTCTTTTCTTTTCTTTTTTTGAGATGTTTTTGCTATAGAGTGTGTGCACTCACCAGAAAGACAGAGACAGACAGAGAGACAGAAAGAGAGAAATCACACACCCCGCCCCCCCAGGGAGGATGACCACACTGCAATCCCTTCTCCTCTATTCTCCTCACAGGATCTTGGACACACATGCACACATACCTGGCGTGAGTTTAAGCCACAGGACCCAGAACTCCAAACGCAGTCAACTACATAGCCATTACGCCAACTGCTGGTCCCTATAACATGCATTTTCTATGAACTATTTCGGAGACTCCTCAGTGAAAACATTCATTTCATAATTCTTATTAGATATATGAACTTGATATTGAGAGATAGTTTAGACATAAAGTGTAATCATTTTAAGTATACATTTTGACGAGTTTTGGTAAAATATGACTGTGCCACCACTACCACAGTGAAAATGTAATGCTCCATCCAAATTAACCTCCCTCTTTCCTCCATTCTCCTTTTCCAAGGGACTGCTGATCAATACTATTTTCTGTCTCTAAATTACCATTGTCTTCAGAGCTTCATGTAAATGAAATCATATATATTTTATCGTTACCTTACTTGTATCAGTTTAGGAATATGAATGTGTTGTGTGGTAAGAACAAGGTAGTGACTAAGCAAAGATTTAATCTGGCTGAAAACCTGATTTCTCTGTACTATACCCAGAATTTTGGAATTCACTTAACTAATTCAGAAGAGACAGATGGAAAAATGAGAAAACAATTTGGTCAGTATACAGTGAAGAAAAAACCCTCAAGTTTACTTGTGTTGTTGCTGATTGTATTTGTTCCCTGTTGGCTAGTCAGTATATTTGTAAATCCAAATTATAGCTAGGAATTTGCTTAGTGAGCGTGAAACCTGTGTACTCACCACTTCAAGAGTCTACCACTAATGTTTTATCATGCTTGCTTTGCAGATATTTACCCGTATCTCCACTCATTCATTCTTCAATTTGTCTTATTTTTGATGCATTTCAAAGTAAATTTTAGATACCAGTGTATTTCCTGAGAACTTGAACATACAATTGAGTATATTTTGATTAGTTCTTTGTGTAATTTTAGGACACATTACAAGTGATTAATGCCGTCAGCAGCATGTGTGGATTTGTGGGAAGTGGAACCTTACCTTGCTCTATAATGTGCAACTCAGCACACATAATTTTGCAAACGCCTGGAGAAAAATTGGGAGGAGAATTTTATCTATAGTTTGTTTATATATTATATATCTCTGCCCCCACCCCCCATACACAGACCATATTCCAAGATGGGTTACCCTTTAGTAATTTATATAATTTTAATTTGAATGAAATCTTTTTGTAGGGTTCTCGGGAACCAGCAGTTAGCGTAATGGCTATGTCGCTGGACTCCCATGTAGTCGACCGCAGTTCGCGTCCCAGACCCGGTGGCTTAAAACTCATACCGGGCACATGTGCGTGCGTGCCCAAGATCCTGAGAGGAGAATGGAGGAGAAGGGATTGCAGCATGACCATCCCCCCTGCGGGGTGATTTCTCGCTTTCTGTCTCTCTGTCTCTATCTGGCAAGCGCATGCGCCCTATAGCAAAAACCTCTCAAAAAAAAGGGGGGGGGTTCTCAAATACCACTTAAGTTTATCTAATTGTGTCATTTCAAAAGATAGTCTACAACAACTCATGAAGTGTCTGAGAAGTGTAGGTTTGAGTTTTGACTGGATATTTGATGATATCAAAGACTTATTAGTTTCTGTATGTTTGAAAATTATATTGGGGGGCAGCAGATGGCATGGTGCTTAGTTAAGGCACTGGACTCCCACATGGCCGACCATGGTTGGGGTCCTGGACATTGTAGCTTGCTTTCTCATTTTCTCTTTGTCTCTTTCTGGTGAGCACACATGCCCTATAGCAAAAATTAAAATAACAATAATAATAGATAAAATTAATTCTTTTTTTAAAAAAGAAAATGATACTGGGTTGGCAACCCGTAGCACAGAAGTTAAGCACTGTACATTGGAATGTGGAATCCACATCCCTGAGCCCCAGCTCTGATGCTTAGGAGAAACTATGTCAGGCTCATGTGCATGTGTGCCTGCCCAGAAACCTGAAGGGACAGAGAAATGAAGGAGGAAGGATTGCAGTGGGCCATACCCCGTAGGGGGAGTCCTCCTTTCTCTGGAAAGGACATATGCCCCCTGGCAAATTAAAAGGAAAGAAAATAAAACTGTGGGGAGATAGTACTATTGTGATAAAGTGATAACGGGAAACTAGTGCTTACTCTTTAGAAGTAGACATCATGTGTTCAAAAAATTTTGGAGTGATACAGTGTCTAGGATTCTCTTCAAAGTAATTCAGGGATGGGGTATATATGAAATAACACAGGCCATGGCTTTGAAGTTGTGTGATGGGTACAGAGATTCATTACACTGTACCTATATACTTGAAAACTGCAATAATAAAAAGTTAAAACTATATAATAAAGGGATGTATAACAAAATGCTAGTAGATATTCAAATTTAAGAAGTTAATCTGATACCCAGTTTATAAATACCATCATTATTAGTGTAATTTCTTTTTATTCCTTGCTCAGGATTAAAATGTAAACTCCTAAACCTTTATTACAACTTTCTTAGCCCTGCTTAATGGAGATTTTAATAAGCAAAATATTTGACTTCAGGTCTAGGGTAATATGCCTACTAAATAATAAACTCTGAAGTTTTAAATTGTAGCAGACCAGAGTAACATATTTTATAGGCAGCAAATCTGTGTTACAAATTAAAGAATCTTTTATTTGGTGAAGCACTACAGGTACAGACCTAAAAATTATGGTTAAATAGACCTTGTAGCAAAGTGGTATTGTAGCTTAATGTATATTTCTAAGTTGCAAGTATTGCTCTAGTATTAAAAGGTTAGGTTGCCAATCAGAAATGACTAAAAGCGTTTTTAAAACAAGACAATAGCATTGCGATGTTATGATTGTGCTGTGTAATCCTAGTTAAAAATGTTAACAATATATTTTCTGTTTTCTTAGCCTGTTTTGTTGCAGTTAAAAGTACAAGTGTTAGGTGTTACCAAGATCAATAATCTGGCAAGGCCTTTATTGATCATCTCATTTTAGTTTTCTTTTCCAACTTTTCTAATAGGAGTGCACTTCACGGTCTTTTAGAGTCTCCAGAGTGCAGCTCACTGTGGACGGGATTCTAACTTGGAGGAGCCATGGAGCAGTACACAGCAAATAGCAACAGTTCCACAGAGCAGATTGTCGTGCAGGCTGGACAGATTCAGCAGCAGGTATGAAAATAAAACTGCTTCATACCTCACATAGATGGAGTTGATGGCAGCACCACGCAGTGGTTCATATGTTACTCCGGAGGATTACTGGAGAGGTGCTAGATCTTGTGAGATACTGGTCTGATGGCTTGTCCTGAATTGCTCTATCCTGTCTGGGGTCTTTTAGAATCTGCTTTTCCTGGGGTCCTGGTGTAATATAATTCAATAAAAATTGTTCCTTTTATCCAGTTAAAACAAAATACCTAGTCTGTTTTTCAGATGGAAAGTTGGAGTTTTGCTTTTTTTCTGGATTCAATTTGCTTGTTTCTCTCCTTATTTGAGCTAATTTGTGATTTAGTAAGGGTTTGGCCACAGTAGACAAGCCAAGATAGCTTTGAAGAAATCCACTGTTCTTGATTTGATCTACCACAGTGCTTATTCTTAAAAGCTCCAGTTTAATAAGGATAATGTTTAGACAGATATTCTTATGGATAAGCACATAATAGAAAGGAATTCCTTGATGCTGGTTTATTCCTAATTAAGAGAGATTGTTTTCTTGAATTCCTACACAGATTACATTTTCTGATGCTTTATAATTGGGTTTGTTTTAGTAAAATTTTACTCTGTTTCTGCCCTTAGAAGAAGAGAATATATTATGCTTCTCTTTGATGTTAAGCTAAGATTGATATCTTGGGTTTTTTAGTTTGTTTGTTTGTTTGTTTTAGTTTACTTCTTCCATGAGAGAGACACACCCCTAACAAGGTCATCTCGCTGTGATCCTTCACAGCCACAGCCAGCCTGCGGGTGGGCATGCGTGAGTGCCTTGAATTTACAGGAAGGCCTTGGGACATGAACCCACCACTTTCCCATCTGGGCTCATCATTGCAGAGCCATGGTAGCACTGCACCACACTTGCTGGCCCCAGGAATGTTTTGTTTTCAAGATGGTAATTCAAGGAAGTAGTTAGTAGGGTTGGCAGAGGAAGTATCAATCATGAGTTGTTTCAATCTAATGATCAAAGAAAGGAGCTACTCCTGATTAAAAGAGATTATTTAAAGTCCTTAACTGCTATGGCTTCTCTAGTTTTTTATCTAGTTTACTTATTTCCTTCATTTGAGAGTCAGGCTCTTCATGCCGTGATTCTACTCAGAAGCCTACAACCGTTCAGGATCACGGTCGTGGCCGGTGTGTTCAAGTAGACCCTGGACACAAACCCAGAACCTTTTCACATGACCTCCCATATCCCCTAGCAGTGTCCCTACTGCCTGCACCACAGGCTGCACCTCAGCTGCCTTCTAGAGAAAGGGCTTCCACGAAGGGCTCCGCATTCAGATCAGTTTCCTGGAGTGTGGGTTTTTGTTTTGTCAGAACTTATCATTTGAGAATATAAAAATAAGGTTGAGACACTGAACACCTTGCTTCTAAGGCAGTCCCTTTTTGTAGAAAGGCTTAGTTTGGGGACATAAGAGCATGAAGATGAATTTGGTTGCACTTTTCTTTGTGATTACAAGCCCCAGAAATTATTTAGCTTCAAGACTTTTAAAAAGTGATAATTTTGTTCTCCTTAACCCATTTGAGAATCTAAAGAGAATATTAAAATAATTGTGTAAGCTAAAGAATCACCTTATTTCTGAAAGGAAGGACTACATTACAAATTTTTGTGTTAATGATGACAACTATTTTGACCTCTCTGAATGAAGAAAGTGTGTTTTGAGGCCTACTCTGGGGACAGAGGGTTAACCTTTGATTCTGCTACCTTCAACAAAACAGCGTCGATATATGGAGACTACTGAAAATCCTGTGTGGGTGGAGCTTTTGCAAAAAGACTCCCTCCATCCCCACAGAGGTAAGGTGATCTCATGTCTTGAACTATATATTTTCTTGCTGGCACAATTCAAGCTCTTCCTGTTCCTGTTCTCAGCAGCAGGGCGGTGTCACTGCAGTCCAGTTGCAGACTGAGGCCCAGGTGGCATCCGCCTCAGGCCAGCAGGTCCAGACCCTCCAGGTAGTGGTGCCCTCTCTGATTCTGCGTGAGCACTGCATGAACTTCTCCTCTCCTCATGTCTGGTGCTGTTTGTGTTAGGATCTCAAGTAGGAATGGCAAAGTCGATGCATGCCTTTGATGCTGCTAACTTGTCTTTGAGGCTTTTAAGATGCCAGTTTCATGTTTCTCGCCAAGTCATGTAGCAACCCACCTCTCTGTTTTCTGAAAACTGCATTTGGCTAGCGTGCGTCTTTGGGAATGCCTGAAAGAAACAATATGGTGACAGGAGGAAATTCTTACAATGGCATTAGCACATACCTGAAGCTCATACTCTGTCATCTGATTTTATTATAAAATTATATGACTTTGTGTAGTAGAGAAGGGAATGAATATATATGTACACATAAACTAGGCTAGCTTTATTTTAGTAAAGGACAACTCAACCACAAGATAATTACTACACTTGGCAAGGTGTATTTGAAGCACTGAATCTTGTTGATCGCTTGTTGCTTTTTCACTGCGTTTCCTGGGAAAATAGTGAACTCTCTTATTACTAGGTCTGCAGTGACTACCCCATACACCTCTTGGTTAGGCATAGGTGGGATACGCTTTCTTTAAACCTTAGAGCCACTATAAGAATTTTCGGTTAACCAATGCATATATATACAGTTCCTGAACATTACGTATAGCCAAGTCAGGTATCCTAAATTATGATTATAATCTGACCAGTTCCTGTTTTAAAATAGGTATAGGAGCACTAGTCTTCTCTGTGTCTAGAGATTACTTTGACCAAAATAACCATATTTTTAAGAAGTTGGGGCATTCTGTCTTTTTTCCTCCATAGAATTTGAAATGATTTAAAGCAGGACCTAGAATGTAAAACTGGCATCTCACTTTGTTACTGCTGCTGCTAAGCATTCTGCAGCTAACTACCTCTTATGGTAATCATTTCATTTCATGTTTTAGTCCCTGCTCTCCCTACCTCTCCCCGTAGCTTTGCGATGACTTATAGACCATTCTGAATGTAAATGAGGCTGAAAGAAAGTGCTTATAGGTATTCCTGAACTGTACTTGGATCTCAGAGTTCAACAGCTTGTTCATGTTTTTCATGCTTGCTTCATCTTTTTGATATATAAAACAGTATTTGAGATTGTCATTAACTACTTATGGAATGGGAATGTAACATGCTCTTAACTGTATGGCTTCTTGTCTGATGCATGTGTCCTTGTAATTATACATATGTTTAAACACAGTGGGCTCTTTGGAGTCTCAAAGTGTTTATCATGTACATATATTGCATGTCAATGAGGGAAGAAATTAAAATGATGAACCAAAAAGTTAATAAACAGTTGTATCTTAAAACTACATTTGCTACTTATTAACAGAAATGGAAACTCTTTATAGAAATAGTACAAACCTTTAGGGGTCTCATCATTCTGGAGAATTTTTGTTTGTTTATTTGTTTTTGTTTTTGTTTTTTTCTTTTTGTAGAGGTTTTTTGTCTTAGGACGCTTGCACTTGCCAGGGAGAGAGAGAGACAGACAGACAGACAGATGAACAGACTGTGACAGTGAGAGATAAAGTGAGAAATCACCCCCCAGAGGGAATGGCCATACTGCAGTCTCTTCTTTCTGTTCCTAGGATCTTGGGCACATACACATACACATCCAGCGTTAGTTTCCAAGCCACCAGGTCTGGGAGTTGGACCATGGTTGGCCATATGGGAGTCTAGCACTGCACTGTCTGCTGGTCTCATATTTGGAAGAATTTTAAATAGTTCTTTCAGTTATTCATGCAATAAGTATTCTGATAAATCTTTCCTGATAACAGCATTTGCAAATGTTATTGTAGCAAAGGGAATTTGATCAGAATGAGAAGTAAGGAAAGGAGAAAGCATGAGAGAGTCAAGCTGTAAAGTTCTAAAATTAAAGTGGAGTTTCTCAACAGAAAGTTTAATAAAACCTAAAATTTGAACCTTCCTGTTGGTTCTGATACATTGGTGGTATAGGTGTTAGGAGAGCCTTACTATCTAACCACCTTATCTAGGACAGATTGATCTTTTAACTAATGACTATTATTTTAACATACTTTCACTGACATTAAGAATGAGTATTTTACGACCAACCAGGTAGCATGGTGGTGAGGGCTGCTGGATTCCACATGGCTGGCTGTGTCGTCCAAGACCTGGACCCGACAGCATGAAAAATACATTTGGCACGTATGCATGCACACCCATAATCCCAAGAGAAGAGTGGAGAAGGGTTTGCAGTGTAGTTATCTCCCCTGAGGAGTGCTTTTGCACTTTCCCTTTTTTGCTCTCTCTCTCTCTTCCCTCCCTCTCTCCAGTGAGTGCATTTGCCCTATAGCAAATAAACAAGCAAAAAAAGAAGTGATATTTTAATCATGTGAATAATTTTGCTCTGTTATAAGTAATTGTTCAAAACGAAGATAAAATCTGGAAATGAAAGTTTTATAGACGATAGGTATTCTGTTCATCACTCCATTTTGCTTTTGAAGTGGCTTGGTTTGGGGCTTTCAGAAAACAGTCTACTAGCTAGGTATTTTTATATTGGGACTCAGGGTGTCACAGCACTTGAAGTAACCTGGCTACTAGAGTAGTCCATTTATTCATAGGAGCTTGAAAGTTGAAGATTCTATTTGTGCACTTGACTGCTCTGTGTAATAATTAGCATTGCCTCTGACAAAGCTACAGTAACTGCAGGTATTGTTGGATTCAGCATGAGAACTTCATCACAGATATTGCAGGCTAACCAGGGAATATTTTCAGGGAGTCTTTTTTTTCTTCCCTTTTTTTGAGAGAGAGGTTTTTGCTGTAGGACCCCTGTGCTCACCAGAAAGACAGAGACAGAAAGCAAGAAATCACCAACCAGGGGGATGGCCACACCGCAGTCCCTTCTCCATTCTCCTTTCGGGATCTTGGGCATGCATGCACACACACCCGGCATGGGTTTAAGCCACTGGGTCCAGGATTTGAACCGTGGTTGACTACATGTGATTCCAGCAACATAGCCATTACATCAATTGCTGGTCTCCAGGAAGTCTTTATTAATGGACTTTTTAAACAACAAACTTATCAGAGTCTCCATATAAGGTCAGGAGGATAAAAGTTGTGCTAATTGGGAGAAGGGGTTCTCTATATAACCTTTTGGAGCAGCTTGTAATGCACTCTCTTGGAGTCATTGCTGGGTATGGTTTGGTTTACTTGCTCCAGTTTATTTTGAATTTGCAACCCTTATTACTGCCATTGCCTCTGTCTCTCATTGCCTCATCCCCAGCCTTCACCAAAGGTCATTCTTGTATATTAGTCTAAAAAGGCAAATAGTTTTGATGTTGGGATTAAATGTTAGTCATGGACTTAGGCTATGCTTCATGATAAATGCCTTACATCTGTGGAGACTTCTCAAAGACTAGGTCTACTCCATTGTATCTGACCCTAAAGTATTCAACTTGGCATTGAGTCAAAGGTATAGATATTTGAAGAAGATAACTTGAGACTTATTTTTTTCGTCTCCTGCCTTTTTTCCTTCTAGCAAGGCAGCTGAGTTATTCAGTGATTGCCTTTGGGTAAAAAAAGCATTTTGTGTATTACATATTTCATTGTTCTTCTTTATTTCATTCTAGGTCCAAGGGCAGCCATTAATGGTACAGGTCAGTGGAGGCCAGTTAATCACATCAACTGGCCAACCCATCATGGTCCAGGCTGTCCCTGGTGGACAAGGTCAAACCATTATGCAAGTACCTGTATCTGGGACACAGGGTTTGCAGCAGGTGAGTGGTGTAAAGAAATGGTTAGGCAGTATGTCAGAATAAAGATTTTAGAGAATAAGATGCTGCAAAATGATCATTGATACTGTATTTAATTGCTTCCTACTCCAGTTTCGCATTTAAGTAGATTTTCCACCTTTGTAGTACCAGTGATAGAAAGTGGAGCTTGCACTAGTCTAAGATAATAGATATGATCTTGTATTTCTATAAGGAATATAAAGAGATGAGAATCTGGTTTATAAAGTAATTCATCAGTGTGACTTAAATGTTGAGTTTTCTAGAGTCTGGGAGAGGAATTGATAGTTTGCTTTGGAGAAATTGTTGTCTTTGGTCAAAAGTGGTTTTTTTTTTTTTTTGAGAGGTTTTTGCTACAGGACACATGCGCTCACCAGAAAGAGAGAGACAGAGAGACAGAAAGTGAGAAATCACCCCCCCAGGGGAGATGG